AAAAAACATCTGGTATGAGATGAGTGAAGATACTCCATGCTTACCTGTGCTTTCATGCATTTGCGACGTGCTAGGCTGGTCAGCCTGATAATCATCAAAACCTGTATCCCTCATGAAGCGTTCATTCCTGAATGGTTGTGAATACCCATATGGTGAGGTTGTAGGATATGACGTTCCACTGAAAGGTTCGAGTAAAAGACGGAAGAAGGCAAATAAAGAACGCAGAACACTTACGTTCTCCTACCAAAAAGATAGCCACCCAGCGCACCTAACCCTGCACCAGTCCAAAATCCGGGTCCACTTCCTCCTGAAGCGGAGCCCGTATGATGTGTGCTCTTGAAGCCCATGGCATCGTCGTAACTAGGTGGTGGAGGTGGAGCACTTGGTGGTGGATGTCCTCCTGGATATCCTGGTCCACCATCGTACCCACTTCCAAACCAGCTGCAATGCAAAATTTTACCTAACAGGAACATAGCCTTGGTGAATAGACGCTTTAAGACATACCCATATCGTGGCGGTGCACGTGGTCCTTGTGGCGTGGTATTAGCGAAGAACATTGCGTATATCATATAGAGTATGAAAGCAGCAACGATGGCGTTAGCAAAATTCTCCTGGGTAAACCTAAAGGCCTTATTTCGGCGGTGTACATGAAAATGTAGAAATCAAAAACAAACCATGACGACCAGCTTGACTTTCGACTTCTGCCAACGTCCTTTTTACTGTAAGCGGTGTTGGCATACTCCAACTCATATTCTAGCTAGAATACGACAAAATATAGTGAACAGAAAAAATATAAAAGAAAGCAAGACTTACCCCGCAACTTCCTTTCAATATATAGGGATCTTCTGGATAACTATAACCTTCACAAGTGACAGTTACCTAAAGAAGACACATAGTGAACACGTCTCTATGAAATAACTTCATACAGAAAATATTAACATAACTTAATATAGATAAATATTACGATGTAATCCTTTCAATAACAAAGTTTATGAAGAATAAAAAAAAGGTTTGAGAAAGGATGGTTAGGACATTTTATGAAGCAAACTATACGTTGCATTAGATATGATGAAAATATTGTAATGAAAAATTCAGTGACTCACCTGTCCAAATTCAAACTCTTCAGGCATATCAGCCACGCATTTCCACTGATAATCCACCCCATCAAATCCCTGTTTCGTGCATTGTACAGTGCGCGGCTTGTATTGACCTTTTGCTTTACCTCCAACACATTTCAACTGAGGTACAGGGGC